TATTTCAGTTCATCCCTTGTATGGGCGACCAGGGATCCTAGGAAACAACAAAAACCACATATTTATTGACGTCTGCTGTGGAAATGGGAGCAGCAAGGACCTGGTGTACACCGTAACAAAGACGGGTGATCTAATTATCGTATGTTTAGCTCTCGCTTTTAACCATAAAACTGTAGCTCATACCCATATTTTTATATCTGTTTTTACAATTTTTTTCTATTTGTAAAAGTAGCCTACTATCTGTGAATGCATGTAACTTATATTTATATTATCCTCCCCTAACCTCAATGTCTAGCTTTTCTTTAAATATCCATCCATTAACTTAAACATAGCTGCTTTATTAAAGACGATTACTTTTTTAATGTATTAAAACTTAAGTCCCTACCATAATTTTAATTAAAAGAAAATAGTCTGCATATTTATTTGTATATATATTTTTTAAAAACTTGCAGCTGAGCGCTACAGATCGGTTAATTAAAAGTCATAAAAGCATTGAAGACTCCCACGCAACCTGTGTAAAAGTATTGGATCAAGTTTTATTTCTAGGGTTTCTTGGAGGAAACATTCACATATTTAACTCAATAACTTTGATTGTAAGTATATTCAAGAGTTACCTGAGAAAAGTTTTTTGGCTCACTTTTTATTTTAAATTGAAAATATATCACAAAAATCTATTGGCAGTCTGTTTTAAAATGTTGAAATCACATGTTAGTAGACTTTTTTTTTTAAACAATTAAATCACATGTAAAAATTTGCTTTCAGCATTTAGCAGCTCTTCCTGTACCTGGGTTTTTCTGCCAAACTGACCTAAAAGAAGGTGGCGTCTTTACCATGGCTTTTAATCCAAGCAACACTTTGCTGACCACAGCGTACAAGAATTCCAGTATGTGCATCTGGGATTTACAGGATGTGGTCAATGTCAAACAGAAGTAAGGAGCAGCCATTTTGTTGTTGTTTAATACTACTTAAGATTTCTTACAGAAGAAATTAAAAGGTTACTACAGAAATTTTGATGAGGTCTAATAATGCTTTAGATTTCTTCTAGGAGAAATTGAAAGATATCTACAGAAATTTTGATGAGGTCTAATATTGCTTTAGATTTCTTATAGGAGAAATTAAAAGGTTACTACAGAAATTTTGATGAGGTCTAATATTGCTTTAGATTTATTATAGGAGAAATTGAAAGGTATCTACAGAAATTTTGATGAGGTCTAATATTGCTTTAGATTTCTTATAGGAGAAATTGAAAGATATCTACTGAAATTTTGCTGAGGTCTAATGGCATGGGCGGATATCAACTTTTATACAATAAATGAAGTTGTTGTTACTGTTGTGGTCAAGATATTAAATATTAGTCATGGCTGGGATTAAGATTTAAAAATTTGGTTAACCCTTTGTTTCCCACACTACCAGGTATGTAGCTGTCTACCACAGCAGTGCCATTGCCAGCTTTGACATTTATACAACAAGTGAACCTGGCGAGCCCATTCGTGAAAATCTGGTCACCGTGTCACATGACTCAAGTGTCCACCTCTGGGGGATCTCAGTCTCCAATTCCATCTGTTACGACAGACTCAGTATCTTGCGCACAGACTCCTCACCTCAGCTACCTGGGGATGAGGAGACAGCAATCTCACACACAGGTGTCATAACAGCTGTCAAGGTGGGAGGTGAAATGTTGATATTTATCAGGTCTATTTATAGTTTCGTTTAGAGGAAGGGAGGTAATGGAGCTTTAAAAATCTAATTAACCAATTGAAAGAATTGATAATGCAATACTTAAACTTGTAAAAGTGAAATATTTTGACTAGTGTAGATGTGTGCTTTATGACCAACCATTTTGGACTAGCTAAAATTTTATTTCCTTGTCAAAATACAACATTTTTAAAAATAAAAAACCTTTTTAATAATGTCCGTAAATAATAATGTTAAAAATAATATTAATTTTAACAAATAATCATTTTTTAAATTTTCCCCACCAATTAATCAGTTTAAAAACAAAAGACTTTTATTCAGTTCAGAAAAAAAATAGAAATTTCTTGTTCTCAGGTTAAAATTCTATTTCTAGGTAAGCCCAGACAAGAAGTATATTGTGACAGGCAACAAGCTGGGCAACATTTGTTTGTATGATAAAGACACGTACACACACTATCTAACAATCCTGGCCCACAACAGAGAGGTCACATGTTTGGCATTTTATTCAGATAGGCAAGTTGGTCAGTTGTTTACAATAACCTTTCTTTATTTAGCCAGCCTACATTCTTTTAAACTTGCATTATAATTTTAACAGCTTCACTAATATTGTAAACATATTTTATAATGATTTGATTTCTTCCAGAAATTAGTTCTGACCTCTTTACTTTAAGTACCTGGCTGTTTTAAATATAACTGCATAAAAAAACAATAAATTTGGTACATTTTACTAACAATTATTTATAGTTTATACAAGCAGTAAATTTCTGTAAATCAATAACCCCCAAGATTTTTGTGACAAGCAGCTACACATTGTTAAGGTTGTACCGCTGAATTATTTTGAAAAAACTTTAATTTAATGTATTCATTCAAAAGCAGTGTTGAAATTTTTCTTCATGAAGTACAAAATTGCTGATCCCTTTGTAGAAATAGTTTCACATCCTTTTAAAACATATTGGCCTACAAGAAATTCTATGACTTTAAATAAATTTTCCATTAAAAAAACAAATACAGTACCTTTAACAGTTCTAGTGACTCACAATTTCCTGAATATATTTTTTAATAATTAAAGTAATTTTTGCATAACTAGATTTTTGTAGTAAAATATATCTTTAACGAGTTACAAGTGAGTTGTATCTTTGTGCTTATTAAAGTACAAATAAAGATCCCTTTTCAGACCTGACGGTCCATATAGCAAGTGAAGTAGAGTTCACCTGTTTCAGTGCCCTCGACATATGTAGGGATAGTGCGGTCAGCACTTTGCCCATACACCTTTACTTTACTTAACATGTGTAAGGTACCCATAAGAGCTGGGTAGACATAAGGATGTTCTACTGACTAGAATCCGGATTCGAACATTAGACTTTCAGGTTAACAGTCTAGTGCTCTACCTCTAGGCCATGCCATCCCAAATGATGTATCTTTATATTTATTTTAGCAAAGGCTGCTCTGTACTGTAATGATGTTCTACTGACTGGAATCCGGATTCGAACATTAGACTTTCAGGTTAACAGTCTAATGCTCTACCTCTAGGCCATGCCATCCCAAATGATGTATCTTTGTATTTATTTTAGCAAAGGCTGCTCTGTACTTGTCAGTGGGAGCCGAGACCGGCTGATTCACGTGATGGATGGCAGCAACAACTTCAAGCTGATTACAACACTCAACATCCACTCCTCTTCTATAACTGCCATAGTTATCTGTGAAATCAAGGGAACCATTTGTATGGTGTCATGTGCTTCTGACAGGTAAACACCTTACATTTCATGTTCATAGTGTCAAAGTGTCTACTATTGCAGCTTTTTTCTGCTTCTAAAACTTATTGCAGTGCATTATTATTTTTTAATAAATCTTATTGTTAATTTTGTTCATCAGTGTCCACAATTTCTGTGAACATAATTATGTATTCTCAAAAATATTAAATATATCACTTAATTAATTAATGAATAAAATTTGTTTCTTAAATTGTGAGGCAATTAATAAGTTAATGAGGAAAATTATTTAAATTATATTTTTACAAAGTAATATAGCATTTATTATTACCATAAAATATAGTAATTTTAATTTTTATTGTAAAATATCTATATATATATAATTCTCTTTTGGGAGACGCTAGAAAACAAGCTGTAAGCGCACCTTGCAGTCCCCTCTCTTCTTCACTAGGCATAAATCAACCTCCCCCACCCCCACATGGTCTGGTGAGCTGTGGTTCACGCTAAATGTTTACAATCATAGAGCCGGGAGGGATCAGCATGGTCGAGTCGGTAAAGCTCATGGTTGCTAAACCGAAAAGTCTAGAGTTCAAACCCTCGGGCAGATGCGGCTTGTAGCAATTATTTTTACATTACAATAAAATATAGCAGATATTTGTAAATAACATTAATAACAATATAATAAAGCAGTAATTTTTCTGTTCGTGCAGGAGTCTTAGTGTATGCACTGCATCAGTACAAGATAAAGTAGAAGGGATAAACCATCCACCGCTATTCCAGCTAAGCAAATACGCTTCTGTTGTCTCATCTCCTGCAGATATTGTAATCAACTTGGTGACGGAGCACTTAGCCATGGGATGCAGGGATGGATATGTCAGGGTTCTTGATTTAGCTCTGCTACAGGTACATGCTTGTCTTAGGAGACGTTTCATTATGTCCAATTTTTTATGGTACAGCTGTCTGTATGATTGGATTATGTCCAATTTTTTATGGTACAGCTGTCTACATTATTGTGTTAGGAGATGCTTCATATGGTCCAATTTTTTATGCTACAGCTGTCTGTATGATTGTGTTAAGATATTGGGTCCAATTTTTATATTACAGCTGTCTGTATGATTGTGTTAAAATGTTGGGTCCAATTTTTATGATACAGCTGGATGTATGTTAATGTTAAGATGTTGGGTCCAATTTTTATGATATAGCTTTCTATTTGATTGCTTAGAGGTTGTGTCAAGTTTTTATGCTACAACAATCTGTATTATTGTTTAAAGATTGGTTCATGAATGCTGTATTGAAGTGTAATAAACATTTACAGACCTAGCCTGACCAAACTGCATGGCATATGTCACAAGTCAAGTGATTGTAACCCAAGTCATATGTCACAAATCAAGTGATTGTAACCCAAGTCATGCTGTAAACATTTGACATTATTAAACTTTGTTTCTCAGGAAAAACAAATGTTCCGAGGGTGTCCATCTGAGGATGGACAGATTCAAAAGATAAACCTGGATGAAAAGGGAGCGCTGTTGATAACAGGGGCTTCAGACAAGACAATCAACCTTATCAACTTCTGTACGGGCGATATACTCATCAGTGTTTCAGGTCACACTAAGTGTGTCACTGGGTTAACCTTTACCTCTACTGGTAAGTTGGAATTGTTAACCTTTACCTCTACTGGTAAGTTGGAATTGTTAACCTTTACCTCTACTGGTAAGTTGGAATTGTTAACCTTTACCTCTACTGGTAAGTTGGAATTGTTAACCTTTACCTCTACTGGTAAGTTGGATTTGTTAACCTATACCTCTACTGGTAAGTTGGCATTGTTAACCTATACCTCTACTGGTAAGTTGGAATTGTTAACCTATACCTCTACTGGTAAGTTGGAATTGTTAACCTATACCTCTACTGGTAAGTTGGATTTGTTAACCTTTACCTCTACTGGTAAGTTGGACTTGTTTACCTCTACTTCTACTGGTAAGTTGGATTCTGATTTATGTTTACTTTGACAAAGATATCAAATAATTTTCAAGAAAAAAATTATTGTTAATTTAAAATAGAAATACCAGAAGCGCTATTTGCATTCAACAAAAATGTTAATAAAAAAATGAATTCATGATCTCTTAACTGAACAATAAATGTGTCAGCAGTAATCAAAAGTAGATGGCCACAATACTAGATGACCATAAGTTAAACAAACAGGTGTTTTATTATCACAGATATTTTTCTTTAAAAAAAAAATAACCCTTTAAAAATTAAATTCATTAAAAAAATTGACATTCATTCCACAAAAGTTAATATTTTGTTCTTCCCCTCTGTGTAACAGGGGATCATGTAATATCTACGTCCATGGATGGCTGTGTCTTTATCTGGAGGCTGTCAGAGATGATGTTGATGAAACAGAAAGCCATCAGTCTTTGTATTAAAGCGTTCAAGATGACAGATTTTCCAGAGGAAATCAGTTACAAAGATATTTTCTTCCTCTTCAATAAATATTATTCCACTCTGGCTATAGACACGGACCCCATGGCTAGCTACAGCAGAGAAGACATCTCCAATAAAGAAGAGCTGGATGAGGACAAACACCACACAGGCCTGACCAAGCAGTTTGAGAATGCGGTGAAACAGGCCATGGACTTTGACATGAATGTCAGCTCCAACGTGCTGCCAACAGATCCCAGTTCCTGCCCACCTCAGTCTGTGGTAGACATCAGTGTCTTCAAACGCCCTCTTCAAGTGAAAAAGTTTCTGAGCCTGCCCTCCATTTCAACAGATGAGTCAAGGTCAACCAGTTTCAGGCTTGACACAGATGAAGGCAAGGCCAAACTTTTGCAAGAATAAAGTAGATTTTAGTCGGCAGCTCGTTCAACTTAACTGTCTTCAAAAAATTTTAACACAGTGAATTAAAAACATTTTTAACTTAAAATTTTCTTTATATATATTCTAAATCTTTTTTCTAATAGGTTTTATTTGTTTGTGTTAAACTAAAATATGCTTAACTGTTCTAGAATCAAATAAGAACTTTTTAGCAGATATGATTGATTTTTTTCCCCTCATATCCTACAATGAACAATCTTTTTTTTTTTCAGTCAACACAGAAACTTGTTATCTAATTAACAAAAAAGTTAAATAATTGTTAGTTGTGAGAATGTGGAAACTGCCGGTAATTATAATGGCAGCTGTTATTTTTGACTAGCCATGCGATACTTAAACTTTAGACCTACACATTACATAGTTACATTTTCACAATTATTGTTCTCATAACGTACAAAACAAAAAGGCATCAAATTCATTTTGCATAAATTTATTTTGAAGTAATCACAAGAATTCTCATAGGTGCATAGCACATAAAAACACAATATAATAAATTAGGTTGTCATAATGAAAAAAATATAAACATTGTTATAAAAGATGTACACATTTTGTTGATGAAAGGTCACAAGTTAGTACTTAAAGACACCATAAGCTGCAGCAACACAAAACAATGTATCCTGAAAAATAAATGTACCTTCATAAACAAATGATTTCACTTTGTTGCATTTAGCTAACTTCAGTCAGAGACAACAGTTTGAAGAGTCAACAATTTGTGTTTAATTAAATGTCATTAATATTTATTTTTTATATATATCTTTATGTTAATATATAATTTGGTGGCATATTTAATCATGAGCTACAATCAGCTAATCTCTTGAAACATTCAAATTAATTTTTAAATTGACTGAAATTTTATTTAATAATTATTAACATACACACTGTAGCAAAATAAATTGCTTGTCAGTAAAATAAAAAAAAATCTGAAGTACCAAGCCATTCAGGTTTCTTTAAAATGTGTTTTGTATCCAATTTTTACTTTAATCTCCCACCATTTTTAGCGCAATTTCCATTCTGGAGAATTGCGTTTATTAACCCGTCATTTCTGGATGTATGAATGTATGAATGAATGGATGGATGGATGGATGTGTGTCCGCAGCTTTAAGTCGTATCTCCTCCTCAACGAAGCAATATCGATGACTAGTTCCAAAAGCAATTATGTTAAGCAAGTTACGAGGATGAACATAGGCTATAAAAATTCCGGGTTTCTTTCATGGATTTCCCGGAAAAGCCAAAAAACCTCGAAAAAAAGCAGTTTTTGGCCCATATCTCGGCAACCAGACCACTAAGCGACTTGAAACATGTACCAATCGATTCCTGCCATAATTTAGAACAATATTGCCGAAGAAAGTTTTCAAAAATATCCTTTCGTTCGGTCACAAATTTTTTTTTAATTAATTAAAATTTGGACCGAATTGGCATTTTTTCCAACCACACCTCACGCGTCATCACGTTCAATAGCTGCACCATCACGTTCTATGGCTTCGTCATCACGTTCAGTAGCTAGGCGCGCAATGGTTTTTAGTCATGTAACTCTATTGTAAATAAAACATGTAAAATACTGAAATTTTTTTTTAATAAAAAACGTTTTAATAACTAACCAATGGTTTTACTAACCCTGCTCTTGATTTACGCTACGACAGAGCTATTTTTAGATAACATAAGGAAATTGCGCTAAAATTGTCACTAGACTTTTTAATTAACTTGTTTTTTACCTGACTGTTAGAATTGTACAATGCTCAGCATTTAAATACCTCTAAGCCTTTTTCAGAGAACTTACATTCATAAAAATATCTTGAGCATAATTATCTGTATCTGAGTCCCAAAAGCATCTGCATCCCATTCTGGTATTTGAAATGAAAAAAAATATATAAGCATCAACAGATTTGTACATCAGTTATATGGTTTATTAGTATAAATATTGCCTCATTGTAATTTTGTTGAGTTTATGTTTACAACTTAAAGATTAAGCAATCTATATAATTTGGTATAACTATAACTTTAGGTATGAATTTAACAAAAAATATTAAAAACTAAAAGTTCTGACAAATTTCTACAGATGCTGATAATCATGTACATGTAATCAAGGTACCTATAGTAAGTTACTCCAATTAATTCAACTACTTATAATTTTGACAGTAAATTGTAAATAGCGACATGCACCATTTTCTGTCTGAAAGAACTTACTTGACCCCTTCCCCTCGCTGTTCCCCTATGACAACCTGTACAACAAACTTGTATCTTTCATGGCCCATTTCTGCATACAAAAATATCATCATAAACCACTGGATTTGTCATTTAAGGATAATTTATTTTTAAGACTTAAATTACACTTTTTTTTTTAAATTAAAAAAAAATTGTTTTTTAAAACACAAACGAAAAACAAAAAGTTTTCTCTTTAGTATGAAAAGTACCATTAGAAAGCCATTCAATTATAGATCATTAATCTGTTAAATGTTTTATAAGCTAGTTAAAAATTGTATTTGAGAATTAACAAAAAATAAAATTCTACCTTTTAATCTTGCTTTTAATGTCTCTGCTATCTCTTTTGTTAAGACCCCTGTCTCTTCTGAATTGTAAGCTACTCCTGTTAGTTTTTCACCCAGAACTGTGTGAATCATTTCTTTGACATTAATTGGACGAAACCTGTAACACATTAAAGAGCAACATATTTTAGTAACAGAGTTCTTTGCAAAAATCTGTAACACATTAAAGAGCAACATATTTTAGTAACAGAGTTCTTTGCAAAAATCTGTAACACATTAAAGAGCAACATATTTTAGTAACATAGTTCTTTGCAAAAATCTGTAACACATTAAAGAGCAACATATTTTAGTAACAGAGTTCTTTGCAAAAATCTGTAACACATTAAAGAGCAACATATTTTAGTAACATAGTTCTTTGCAAAAATCTGTAACACATTAAAGAGCAACATATTTTAGTAACATAGTTCTTTGCAAAAATCTGTAACACATTAAAGAGCAACATATTTTAGTAACATAGTTCTTTGCAAAAACTGGGATATATTTGTTAAGGGAGAGATGTTAGCGAGAAATTTTCAGAGTAATATTGAAAGTACAAAATCTTGGTGATCTAATAAGGTTATATTTTGATTATTTTGTTGTATGAGCTATACAAATTATGCTATGCCAAGGGATCCAACCAAGAAAAGTCTTGAAATTATTCGAAAGGCCCATTTAATATTTTTAAAATCATGTACGGTAATGAAAAATGATTACAAAATAACCACACCTATTAATAATAATAATACTCAATTTCCGTTCTGTTAATTTAGAATAGTGGTTAACTTGATACTTGTCTGTTAACTTTATGTTATTGACAGTTATTGTAATGTTGACACTGTAACTTGTTAGTGACAGCAAGTGACAGTATTCAGTTTGAGTACTCAGTGTAGTGTGTACTGTAGTTGTGGTTATTGTAGTTAGTTAATTTATTATAGTTAAGTTAGTGAAGTCTAGTACTGAAGTAGTAGTAGATAAACGATACTGCATTTTCAAGCAATTCTTATTTTTATATTTTATGATGACTCATAACATGACAGCTATGTACTATGTAGTATGTTTAATGAATAATGTACATTTGTAATGGACGCCAGCGAGAAAAGTCTCAAAGGTAATATGGTTATAAAATGCTGTCTGGTTTTATTCGGACTTTACTAAAGATTGGATGCATTTGATGTTTTTAATATTTTCGGTAACTAAATACAAGTTTTAAAAAAAGCAAAAACAATTTGGTTTTCACATGTAATGGCGTCATAAACAACGGCATCCTGCTATTCGTTATACCACGTTTACACTTGCGACATGTATACTATACATTTCTAGGAAAAAAAAACTTCGCAATAAGTAGGTAGGCTTCCCTATTATCTTAGGCCCTATAGCGAAGTTTTTTTTTCTAGACATGTAGGCCTATAGTATACATGTCACAAGTGTAAATGCGGTATTAGGCTGCCATAAATGTTATTGTACACACTGTAAGCTAAAAAAAGAAAAACTAGGTCATAGGGTTTAAATTTGCATTGTTATTTAAAAACTTGATCTGCAAAGTTTTGTAAACAAATAGTTATCGATCACTAAGTTACTGTACAGCCAATCAATATTTGTCTTACGAAAGTGAAACATCCGGTTATAACTTAGGCTTGATGAAAATAAATAGAAAGGTATGTAATGACTATGTAGCCTTAAACTCAACAAATTAAATTGAAATTATTTTCAAGTTCTCTGGATTTGCAACTTTTATAGCATTTATTATTCTAAAAATATATAATTTCTAAATTAATTTTAGGCTTAAGTTTTTATTTTTTTACGGTCTAAATCTAAAAAGCACGTTTTTATTCCATGTCAACAACATTATGGAAGGATTCTCGTCTACTCGCTGGTGTCCATTGTAATGTAACAGTAGTAGTTCTTACTTCTGAGAAAAGTTTGGTCGAATAATGTACGTATTTTGTTGATTTGCCTCTTTTGAATTAGCAATAGCTGTATCACTGCTTATTTCAACTGGCGCTTTTTGCTCAATATCTATGGATCCTTCTTCTCCCATTCCTGATTTTAAAAGAAAGCTAGAAACCTTGGTAAAAATGCTACACCGATAGATCTCTTTACTACTAAAAACGAAAACATTCAAAATGGAGTCCCTAACAACGAAGGGGAGACCATTCAGTATAATACACGATTTTTGAAGCTATGATTACAGAGTTTGAGACACTATTATATTAATTAAAATTATATCAATGTAATCTGTTAGTTTTATTTAACTGATTTTTATAAAATTAAAAAGTCTATTTTTTACACTGATTTTTTTTGCATTTGACCTTTTTTTTTAAAAATTGGAAACATTAAAATACTCTAATTAACTTAACACAATCATCAAAATTTATTAAATTAGGGCATTTATGTTTAATTAAAATAATAGGCCTACATTAAATTTATTTTTTTTTGTATTCTTACAACTAATTTTATAATTATAATTCAGTTTTGTATTTGTAAACATCGAAATACAATGTTTTTAATTGGATTAGGCCTATAGATCTTGTATTAAATTTTTTTTTCTTTAGGCGTACTACTGGTGTTTTCAATTTTTGTTTTACTCCAGTAGCTTCCCCTTTGTAAATACCTGAAATCTTACAAGGATTTCGCCAGGTGTGTTACGGAAGTCAGTGTGACACACGACGACTGTGCTATGTCTGGTGACAACAAGGTTTCTCCATGAGTAATACAACTAGGTGAACATAGTAAATGAATTCGATGCAGATTTCACATTAACGCTGATATAATTCTCCTTCAACATGACAGGTTAGTGGTGTTTGATTTTTTTTCCCAATCTTATTTTTAAGTAGGATATGAATTTATTTAAGACGTTGAATAATAAGTCTGATTCATTAAATCTAAAAATAGAATGTCAACTACTGTGTCCTTTACATTCGTCTTCATAACTTCTCATTAAATAAAATAAGATACACACATACACATAAAATATGGGCGTGGCTCTTATTTATTATTATCTTTGTTTCGTTTATTTATTCTGAAATTTCATAGTGGAATGTCATACGTCTTTAAGGAAATATTCACGTTTGATTCAAAACAAGAAAAAAAGGTTGAATATGTAAATATGAGTAAAAAATGTGTGGGCAGTTGTTGTATTATGTTCTGTTCAAAACATCTGTTATATAGGGATATTAAACAATCACAGAAGAATGAAGATGTGGCCTTATTGATGTAAATATTGATTATTGGCTAAAGTGAGTGTATGGAATGTCCAGGTTGTTATTTATAGCACTGGGAATGTCAACAAATATTTCATGCATCATAGGCTACTGAGATTGGTAGACGATTCTAGATTTAGGTCTAGGCCTAACTTAGTTAACAGGAAATTAAAAGATGTTTAAAAAAAAACCTTTTAACTAGACATTTGTGTAATAATTTGTTTTCTTTGAATTTAATATTTATCTGAGTGGTAAATGACGTGACATGAATACTTTTTAATAACTTTAAAAAAAATTAAAAAAAAAATGCTGTGATTGAATTATGGTTTCCAGTTAATTATATATAACAACAACCATGCTTAAAATGAGCTATTGTTTCTTCTGTGTTTAGTATATATTTATACTTTATATTTATAAGTAGGAGTGGTAGGGGTCGTCCATAAACGATGTCACACTCTAAGGGGTCAGGGGAGAGGGGGGGGGGCAGAATTTAGTGATCATGTGTGACGAGGGGGAGGGGGGTTCACATTTAAAAAAAAAGTAATTCTAGAAATTGATTTTTAACCGTTATTCAACCTTCTTAAAAGACTGTTTTAGTAAACTGTAATAGAGGCTGATTTAAATATGCTAAAGAAATCGTAGCGAGACGTCATTTTAGGGAGGGGTGGGGGTGGGGCTGGCTCTCTTTCTCTCTCTATATATATAAGGGCCGAAAACACATGGAGCATCATACATCTGCTGTATCTAAACAACTGTATCTTTTTAGCATGCGATTCATTGCTACACATCTCTATACACCAAGAAACGCAGTAGCACGTGAGTTCTATAAATAGACATCTATGCAATATGTAATGGCGACCGTTTCATGGGTGTTGAACCAGAGCTTCATTCATGTATGTCTTCGAGGGGGGAGGGATGTCCCATGTCTACTCGCTCATCCCCGAAGCAGAATTAAAATACAAGTTATAAGCTACAACCAATCCCCCCCCCTCCCCTCGGGAAATTTAAGTCCCCAAATCACCGGAGTAAAAATGCCTGAAAGAAACACTGTCCATAACCTCAGCTTGTCTGAAATAACGTCCATGACTGTAGCTTCAGTGAAAAAAATACCAACCATTGTAAAGGTTGTACTGACACAATTTACCCACCCCAGGGGCGCAGAGGCGTAGCGAGAGGGGGGACGGACGGGGGGGACATATGTCCCCGGGCGCCGACCTTAGAAAGGGCGCCAAATTGAAAGTTTGTGGGGGGGGGGGGTGCAAATGAAAAGTTCGAGGGGGGGGGGTGCAAATCGACGAAAGTTTGAAGGGGGGGGGGGGGGTGCAAATCGAAAGTTTGTCCCCGGGCGCCGGGAAGGGTCGCTACGCCTCTGCAGGGGCGTATAATTTATTGGGCGCCTGGATGAAATTTGTGGGGCGCCCGGATAAAATTTGTGGGGCGCCTGTATGAAATTAGCGGCGCCCATTAAACTAATATCGCAAAGCTCAAAATTTTGCCTACATTTCTGATTTTTTTGGTCTTAAGGAGCTAATTTATTCTTATGGTAGGGGTGGAAAGGTGTGTGTGTGTGTGTGTGTGTGTGACTATAATGTGTGTGTGAGGTTAACAATCGAATAAAATGATGCTGACCCCTTTTCGTCCATTAAAATAATTGCATTTGACTTGCCCAAATCCCCGCTCCCACCTCGAGTATTGCACTTACGATGAGCACATTGAGGGTAACATAGAGGGTAACCATAGAGGGTAACATAGAGGGTAACACAATGGTTATCTACAGTTCTAGGCTCTCTTCTAGCCAAGACTGAAGTTCGTGCAGACTGTTCCTTCCTACCATATCATTCTAAGAATAGACGCCAACCCAAGTTCCTGTTGACTAATTGGATTAGTGTGATAACCTCTTTAAAATCTAACATCTGAATATCAACAAAGACCGGTCAAGGACGAACTTCGACCATTACAAATCTCCGTGTGTAAACGACAAAAACAAACACAGGCAGAACACACCAGTAAGCCGTGTAAATATCGCTGTTGTATCAATTTCTCGTGGCCCACACTGCCGGGTTGGCCAGGGAAAACGAGAATTGCCTCATTTTGCGGCCGTAAAAAAAGCATCAATTTATGTTCGGTGTTGTTTCCCGGGAGATGAAAAGACAGGAGACAGAAAGGGCTGTAACTCATTTAGCTGAATGGTTGTGTCCCTTGCGACCGGTGCTATTTATGCAAAAGTCTATCGATCTATTTCTTATTTCCGGAATCGTCTGTTTTTTAAGGGGTAGATTTCCGGGATAAATAAAGGTTAAACTGACTGGCACGATACACACTGTGGCATTAACATAGCATACGATCTGAATTAACAGCAAAAAGTCGTTTTAATATGTTACATACAATATATGGCTTTTACAACTAAACAATGTGCAATATCTTGACTTTACCAACTAAATAAGGATTCATATGTATTTTAAAAATAAACAGTATCCGGCTTTAGAAAAATAAAAAAAAGTAATTAGCATATAAAGTAGGCTTGAAAAAATGATTCCAAATGTTGGTTGCCAGAAAGCATATTTGTCAACCAAAATTGAATATTTTATAACATTTGTGTAATAAGTACAAAACGACTTCCGGTTTTATTCAGCAAACACTATCGCCTGCCATGTTTTAATTTTTAGCGCAATTTCCATACTGACCATTGCGATTATTAATTCGTTATTTCTGGATGGATGGATTGATGGATGTGTGTCCGCAGCTTTAAGTCGTATGTCCTTCTCAACGAAGCAATATCGAGGACTAGTTCCAAAAGCAAATATGTTAAGCAAGTTCCGAGGATGATTGTGGGCCAAAAAAATTCCCGGAATTCCTTCCTGGATTTCCCGGAAGAGCCAAAAAACCTCGAAAAAATGCAGTTTTTGGCCCATATCTCGGCAACCAGACCACTTAGCGACTTGAAACATTTACCAATCGATTCCTGCCATAATTTAGAATAATATTGCCGAAGAAAGTTTTCAAAAACTCGTTGCGATCAACGCTTGTATTCTTTTTTGTTTTAAAATGTCGCTATCGTCGCAACCCCCAAGCTAAGCATATTATGTACTGCATAGATATAGAACACAATATCTTCGCCAGACTAGACAGTTTTAAATACACGACTGCTCGGCTAACGTCAGCACAGAAAAAGGGAGCAGCCCAAAACCGAGTCCGCTGGAATTGTGTAATTGCAGCCCTTTGCTCCCCAGGGGCCACAAAGGAACGATGATGGTGATGTTTTCAAAACAATTTTTAACAGGACTACACTGTAATACACTTGCCAAAGAGTGTCTTTATTTGTAATACATTTGCCAACAAGTAATTACATCTGTAATACATTTTTCAACATCTACGAATTATCTCCCCTACACCTAGACCTGAACTCGCCATCTTGTTTATCCCCATTGTAGCGCCCCCCCCCCCCCCCAACACACCATCACGCCAACCCCAAAAAACTTTCTTAAAATTTGTATCTATTTTTCTCCAATGTCGGATTTTGTTTGTGAGAGTGAATAATTTTGTCTTTTAAACGCCAATTTATATTTGTATGATAATGTCATTTCAGTGCATGCTGTTAGTGTCTGTTTTAATTGTTACAAAATATGACCGTTTTGTTGGGTGTAAATGTGAAATATGTGATATTAGAACCTAACTTAACTGAGCCTAACGTACCTGAGCCTACCTTACCTGATGTTAGAGACTAACTTATCTGATGTTAGAGCCTAACTTACCTGATCTTAGAGCCTAACTTAACTGAGCCTAACTTATCTGAGCCTAACTTACCTGATGTTAGAACCTAACTTAACTGAGCCTAACTTACCTGATGTTAAAGCCTAATTTACCTGAGCCTAACTTACCTGAGCCTAACTTACCTGATATTAGAGCCTAACTTAACTGAGCCTAACTTAGCTGAGCCTAACTTACCTGATGTTAGAGCCTAATTTACCTGAGCCTAACTTACCTGAACCTAACTTACCTGATATTAGAGCCTAACTTAACTGAGCCTAACTTACCTGATGTTAAAGCCTAATTTACCTAAGCCTAACGTACCTGATATTAGAGCTTAACTTACCTGAGCCTAACTTACCTGATATTAGAGCCTAACGTACCTGATGCTATATCACAAATGGCCTGAGACCCAGCCACCCCCGCCCAGACACGTGCTGGGTGGCCCCACCGTGAGTACACCCTTCAGCGGGCCGCTGTACACGCGCCCCGCGTGCACGGGTCGATAGCTCCTCATGGTGAGCGCCCAGACGGGATATCGACATGTTTTTGTCGCGGGCTGATTCATACAGTGGGTGAAGGGGAGGGCTGGACCCAGCGTGTGTACACACTGACCTAGTGATTGTGTTGTTATTCTCTCGGAGATCAGAAGCCGTTGCATACTTTTGCAGTGTGTAGTGTGTAGTGTGTGAATTCTCACTCGGTGCTAAGTGGAATAAACAGGAAAACCGAAAGTGTTCGGAACAGGATGTGCTTTTCTTAGTTTGCAAACACATCAGTAGGTCTGTGAGGTCGCTACACTACCGTCTAGCCGTTTGTAGGTTCCTAATGTTTTGTTGGGATAAGTTGCTACATTACCGTCTAGCCGTTTGTAGGTTCTTGGTATATTTTTGGGTTACGTCGCTACCGTCTAGCTGTTTGTAGGTTCCTAATGTTTTGTTGGGATGAGTCGCTACCGCCTAGCCGTTGGTAGGTTCCTAATGTTTTGGGATGAGTCGCTACCTTCTAGCCGTTGGTAGGTTCCTAATGTTTTGTTGGGATGAGTCGCTACCTTCTAGCCGTTGGTAGGTTCCTAATGTTTTGTTGGGATGATGTCCCTCGTGACCTACAGTTTGTAGCTGCTGATGTTTTCCCCGAGGATGATGCTATTTTGCTCTTGTAGGTTCGCGTTAAAAAAAAAACAGGATCCGCTGATCTAGGTCCATTCGGCTACAGCTGACAGTAGTTTCTTGTAGACCTTTGACACGAGAGTATAGAAGAATTTGTGAGGGATAGAATGGCGAGGTACGGTAAACCCTCTTGATCCAACTCTCAACAACCTCGTTATGATTCAGGTTTCGGTTTTTAGTCTGGTTTAGGTAGTCAACAGTTTATTGTTTGTTGTGTTTAGGTTTGCCTGTCGCTCCTCTTGGGACATAGGCCGTTGACAAGAGCTTTCCAGGTCTCAACTGTCCCCAGGTGTCCTGGGCTAGTCTCTCCAACTGTCCCCAGGTGTCCTGGGCTAGTCTCTCCAACTGTCCTCAGGTGTCCTGTGCTAGTCTCTCCAACTGTCCCCAGGTGTGTCCTGTCCTGGGCTAGTCTCTCCAACTGTCCCCAGGTGTCCTGGGCTAGTCTCTCCAACTGTCCCCAGGTGTGTCCTGTCCTGGGCTAGTCTCTCCAACTGTCCCCAGGTGTGTCCTGTCCTGGGCTAGTCTCTCCAACTGTCCCCAGGTGTGTCCTGTCCTGGGCTAGTCTCTCCAACTGTCCCCAGGTGTCCTGGGCTAGTCTCTCCAACTGTCCCCAGGTGTCCTGGGCTAGTCTCTCCAACTGTCCCCAGGTGTCCTGTGCTAGTCTCTCCAACTGTCCCCAGGTGTGTCCTGTCCTGGGCTAGTCTCTCCAACTGTCCACAGGTGTCATGGGCTAGTCTCTCCAACTGTCCCCAGGTGTCCTGTGCTAGTCTCTCCAACTGTCCCCAGGTGTGTCCTGTCCTGGGCTAGTCTCTCCAACTGTCCCCAGGTGTCCTGGGCTAGTCTCTCCAACTGTCCCCAGGTGTCCTGGGCTAGTCTCTCCAACTGTCCCCAGGTGTGTCCTGTCCTGGGCTAGTCTCCAACTGTCCCCAGGTGTCCTGGGCTAGTCTCTCCAACTGTCCCCAGGTGTATCCTGTCCTGGGCTAGTCTCTCCAACTGTCCCCAGGTGTCCTGGGCTAGTCTCTCCAACTGTCCCCAGGTGTCCTGGGCTAGTCTCTCCAACTGTCCCCAGGTGTGTCCTGTCCTGGGCTAGTCTCTCCAACTGTCCCCAGGTGTCCTGGACTAGTCTCTCCAACTGTCCCCAGGTGTGTCCTGTCCTGGGCTAGTCTCTCCAACTGTCCCCAGGTGTGTCCTGTCCTGGGCTAGTCTCTCCAACTGTCCCCAGGTGTCCTGGGCTAGTCTCTCCAACTGTCCCCAGGTGTCCTGGGCTAGTCTCTCCAACTGTCCCCAGGTGTCCTGGGCTAGTCTCTCCAACTGTCCCCAGGTGTCCTGTGCTAGTCTCTCCAACTGTCCCCAGGTGTGTCCTGTCCTGGGCTAGTCTCTCCAACTGTCCCCAGGTGTCCTGGGCTAGTCTCTCCAACTGTCCCCAGGTGTCCTGTGCTAGTCTCTCCAACTGTCCCCAGGTGTGTCCTGTCCTGGGCTAGTCTCTCCAACTGTCCCCAGGTGTCCTGGGCTAGTCTCTCCAACTGTCCCCAGGTGTCCTGGGCTAGTCTCTCCAACTGTCCCCAGGTGTATCCTATCCTGGGCTAGTCTCTCCAACTGTCCCCAGGTGTATCCTGTCCTGGGCTAGTCTCTCCAACTGTCCCCAGGTGTATCCTGTCCTGGGCTAGTCTCTCCAACTGTCCCCAGGTGTATCCTGTCCTGGGCTAGTCTCTCCAACTGTCCCCAGGTGTGTCCTGTCCTGGGCTAGTCTCTCCAACTGTCCCCAGGTGTCCTGGGCTAGTCTCTCCAACTGTCCCCAGGTGTCCTGGGCTAGTCTCTCCAACTGTCCCCAGGTGTGTCCTGTCCTGGGCTAGTCTCTCCAACTGTCCCCAGGTGTCCTGGGCTAGTCTCTCCAACTGTCCCCAGGTGTCCTGGGCTAGTCTCTCCAACTGTCCCCAGGTGTGTCCTGTCCTGGGCTAGTCTCTCCAACTGTCCCCAGGTGTCCTGGGCTAGTCTCTCCAACTGTCCCCAGGTGTGTCCTGTCCTGGGCTAGTCTCTCCAACTGTCCCCAGGTGTCCTGGGCTAGTCTCTCCAACTGTCCCCAGGTGTATCCAATCTTCTTGGTGTCTTCTTCCAGGTCAAGTCTCTCCAACTGTCCCCAGGTGTCCTGGGCTAGTCTCTCCAACTGTCCCCAGGTGTGTCCTGTCCTGGGCTAGTCTCTCCAACTGTCCCCAGGTGTCCTGGGCTAGTCTCTCCAACTGTCCCCAGGTGTGTCCTGGGCTAGTCTCTCCAACTGTCCCCAGGTGTGTCCTGTCCTGGGCTAGTCTCTCCAACTGTCCCCAGGTGTCCTGGGCTAGTCTCTCCAACTGTCCCCAGGTGTGTCCTGTCCTGGGCTAGTCTCTCCAACTGTCCCCAGGTGTCCTGGGCTAGTCTCTCCAACTGTCCCCAGGTGTATCCAATCTTCTTGGTGTCTTCTTCCAGGTCAAGTCTTTTGTTTTTGTTGAGAGTGTTTTGAAATATAATCCGTAGATGTAGGCAAATTGTTTAAGCAATATATGAAGGCAATGCATTTAGGATATAGATGCAGGCAATAAATTTAGGATATAGATGTGGGCAATACGTTTAGGCAATAGATCTAGGCAATAATTTTAAGCAATATATGAAGGCAATGCATTTATATAGATTTAAGAAATACGTTTAGGATATAGATGTAGGCAATATTTTTAGGCAGTAGATCTAAGCAAAAGTTTAAGCAATAAATGTAGGCAATGCATTTAAGAAATAGATGTTGGCAATACATTTAGGCAATAGACAGAGATCTAGAACATGCTACTGTTTTGTCCACTTGGTCCCACTGACTGTTGTCAGATGGCCACTTTGAGAACCACTGACCGCGGTCATTAAACATTCATCAGCACGAAGGTACACATAGTTTATGTTCTGACATGCTTGTTAGAGAAACCGGTTTCAAGAAATGGTCACGGTTGAAGGCCTAGCACAATTATATCGCATGCCGACACACTTTAGCTCTGAGTTTAATTTAACCTATTAAACGTGCTGACACTTTAACCTCTGCCATTAATCTAACCTCACACCGTAAAGACACACCTTAAGCTCTGAGTTTAATTTAACCTCCCGAGAACACCACGCCTGTCGTACATCCAAACTTTAACATACACAAGAGGCAGGTCTTATGTTTATTAGGCAGGGAGCAAACCACGTGATAGTTGCAAAGTAATACACAAATTAATATCTATGAATATCTATGTATGTATGCAAATATAAATATGTATGCATATGTGTATATATTAATGTATATGTGAGCATCAATGTATATTTGAGTAATATGTATATATATATATATATATATATATATATATATATATACGTATATATACACACACATATATCTATATATATATATATATAGATATAGTCAATGCTGTCACAGGTTTGGTAGCAAACAATGCTACTTGTATAAAAAATGTGAGTGACGCATCATATACCGGTGAGCATGTGTGTCCTACCAACACAATTAGGTCCAGCGTGACAGATGTCCATCATTGATTACACAACACCTTTGTCACAGTTTCTGCAAAGTGCTCCTAATGTTTTCCCCGCACCAATCTGTTTCCGGCAAGTCTCGCTTTACGAGCAGGCCGAGCTATAGTTAGCTATGTGCTCATGGTTCTAAATTTAGCGTGCTTTAGTCATTCATTAGTCGCTACCAGCTGTTGTCACGCCGGTTAATGAAAAACTGGTTCAACTCACGTCTGCACAAACTTCACAAAGGCGAATCCTGTTTAAAGGGTGTGTTTTATGTGCATACACGTTATGTAGAAATGTAGACATTTATAATTACAGGCCTCGAATATATACTTGAGTATATATTTATATACATACGTATGTATACTCGCGGACATTATAACTAAGTAGGCCTATATATATATATATATATATATATATATATATATATATATATATATATATATATATATATATATATATATATATATATATATATATATATATATATATATATATATATATATATATATATATATATATACTAGCTGTATCCCGTGCTCCGCCACGGTAAATCATTTTTAAATATACCAACTTTGGAACAGAACAAAACTAAACACAACACAAACGAAGGAACGAAAAAAAAAAAAAAAAAAAAAAAAAAACGAAAAAACGAACACAACACTCATAACATAAACACAATTTAAATGCAATCAGAAAGGCATAGTGCTCACAGTCTAGCCCGTAGCGCCAAATCGCGCCCTTTCCGAGTCCCGGCGGACGCGTCTGACACAGTGAATGACTACAAAACAGAGGCCTAGCGACCCTTTCCGGCGCCCGGGGACAAACTTTCGATTTGACCCTCCCTCAAACTTACGATTTGCACCCCCTCCCCTCAAAATTTCAATTTCCACCCCACCCCCTTAAACTTTTGATTTGCATTCCCCTCAGACTTCCGATTTGCACCACTTTTGATTTGAAATTCCCCCCCGCTCAAACTTTTGATTTGCACCCCCTAAAACTTTCAATTTGCACCCTACCCCCCTCCCCCTCCGTAAAACTTTCGATTTCCAACCCCCCCCCCTAGCTACGCCTCTCTTATAAAACCCCAGCTTGTCCGCAAACCGAAAGATAGAATAATAATAAATAATATACAATAAAAAATAGGCAATATTTAAAATATCCGTGTTTACCTACCATATATCACTTTATCAATTCACGCATTTTTTTCCCAGTATTTTAATTTTAAAAATTTACAATTGAGTTTCATAACTAAAACCATTGCGCACCCAATGTCTATAATGGTGCGGAATAGTTGATTAAAAATTAGAAGTAGTAAACAGTACATTCAGTGAATACAATAAATAAAAGATTGCCTTGTATCAATCCATGCTAATTATAATTTTCCAACAATCCGCATCCGCACAATTTGCATTCACATTTTGCTAATTATATTATTTCAACACTAATTCCTTCTAAGAGGTCCGTAGATTTGCATTCACATTTTTTTATTAGCGTGAGTTTAATTTATTTTTAAATTACCTCCCTTTTCATAATTAGAAAGAGTTAAATTAATTTGATTTTTCTACCCTACTGTTATTATGTTATGAAAATCTATCCAATTTTTCTAGGAATATAAAGTAAAATGATATTTGACATTGATCTTTTTAATCTGTTTTAGCAAAGTGCAAATATTTAATATGTTCATAACGTTATGCAAAAAATTAAACACAGTGGCATTTATAAAATAGCTCTATGCCGCTATATAAACAAACCCTACTCTATTACTTATAATAAGACACTGCGGTGCACTGAAAAGCACAGCATGGTGCGTAGTTTACTTTTATAGTCCCAAAATCTATAGCGATGACGGACGGACGGACGGACAGAAGGAAGGAAGGACAAGCACAGCCCGCTTATATTATATATATATATATATATATATATATATATATATATATATATATATATATATATATATGTATATATAAAATTTATATATATATATATATATAATTTATATATATATATGTATTGATATACATACGCATTTATATATATATATATATATATATATATATATATATATATATATATATATATATATATATATATATATATATATATATATATATATATATATATATATATATATATATATATATATATATATATATATATACTCATTTACTGCCATTAACAGGTACTGCGATAACATTCTCTATGATTAGTTTGCTTTTCTTATCACAATGATTTACAATACTGTTTGTCACTTTTTACCTCCCTTGAAGGTTTGGTTTGACCATTTTTTCCTCCCTTTTATGACGTACTGGCCTGTCGTCTCCATAGACTGGTCAAGACGCCTTGACCTACCTAACGACCTGGTCTGTCTTTAATGAGATCAGGATTCAGCTGTCCGTATATTCAGTTTGGTCTCGTTCTTTTAAAATCAATGTTTTTTTTTTTTTTTTTTTTGCTTTCTTGTGTTGGGGAAGAATTGTAATCATACAGGAAATCGAAATTTTACACCTTCTTGGGTAAGGAAACCCCAGTTTTGTAATCTTATCTGTATACCTGTCTATCTGTCTGTCTGTAAATATTAACACGATTTCTTGAGTACCGTTTTATTTTCTTTTAACTTAACAGCAATTGCCGTATACCCGGAAGTGGTACTTTATTTTCGGTTTCTCAAAAACCTTCAGATTTTTATAATTTTATTTTACATTCTCACAAAGCAGCATACTGTAAGAACTATCAGTATTTACTCAAAAATCGAGTGGTTTTGACACCAACTTACCTACCATTTCCCCACTCCTATTCCACTGTTAAGTACCGTATCCACCTTTACTGCTCTGTACGATTATACGAAAAGCTATAGGGGAACTCACTCCCGCTTTATTATTTAATTTAAGGCCTGGCGTATATGAACTGTAAATTGAGTGAACTTCAGTGTACTGATGTAGTTCCTCTAACCAACCATGTGACCGTTTGTTGCTACTCACCCCCCCCCCCCCCCCACTTGCTGACGCCTCTGTAACCGTTTGAGTTGAATTGTCTCTCTGTTCTCACACATACACACGCGCGGTTTGGGCTCTATAAAACAGAATCGATTACTTTTTCGCTCATTTGTTGAATGTGGGGGAGCCACTACAACTCGCGGAGTTTATGTGGTTAGGTGTCATTTAGTATGAGTTGATGTTGTTAGTTATCATTTAGGATGAGTTGATGTTGTTAGATGTCATTTAGGATGTTTGGATTTAATGTTATTGTCTATCTGTTTAAAGTTGGTATAATGGAATTAATATTGGTGTTTCGTATGTAGCTGATTTAAATTAATGCGGTGAATTTTTGCGATACCTTGAACTTTGGTTACATGAAATTAGTGATCCGTAAACGTTTGTATAATATAATTAATGTTACCGGTTCATATAACGATGGTGTAATGGAATTAATGTTACCGGTTCATATAACGATGGTGTAGTGGAATTAATGTTATTGATTCATATAACGTTGGTATAATGGAATTAATGATAGCGTTTCATTTAACGTTGGAATACTAGAATTTATGTTAGCGTTTCATATAACTGTGGTAACATGGAATTAACTTTTGTTTGAATCATAGATTGATCAATGCTAGATATTGGACAGTTACTTTTGTATGTGTATCTTTATGACAAGCATTTGACCTTATAATTCCTCATAGCTGTGTACGATCAGCCGTCAAACATTTTGGGTGTTCAAAAACGTGATATACTTAGGTAGCATTTAACGGATGAGTTACCGGAGATATTTTAATCGGTTAATCCACGCGAGTGTGTAGTTGACGCGAGGCGTGTACACTGAACAGTGCTCGAGTGAGTGCTTTTCACAGTGTGACACCTGCACGTGCGCTCAGTTTCAAGCATATTCCTCTCAGGTAAATATTACTCACCTGGACACGTGATGTGTTTGCTGGACATGGAGACTCACGTGTCAGCTACGGACTGGGTAGGGTGAGCCCTAACCCGTGTTTTGACCCCGTCGTACTGACCCCTAACATCCTTGACCCCGCGTCTTGACCCCTATGGGATCACACCCCATCTGACCCATGGCCACGCTATCGAGCCCGGACAGCGACGACCCCTTGGGGATCGGGCGGAAGATGGGCATGCACCACCACTGCCCCCACATCATCATCAGCGGCAGCACCAACAACAACAACAACAACAGCAGCAGCAAGAACTACCAGCAGGATCCTCTGGCTCACAAGCACGTGGAGGAGAACATCGAGAGCTTTCTGGAGACCTTCAAACACAAGACCTGGTGTGTGGACAAAGGCGGGCTGCTTGACCGCCGCCCCAGCTCCGACTCGGGCGACTCCTCCACAGGCTGGACTAGCTCGGCCCTGTCCACCACTGACGACCTGTCCACGGACAGCCCGGAGCGGGACAATGACATCCCTTCCGGCGCGGTCGGCCACACGTCTTGGAACGACCGGGAAGGCATCATCGCTGAGAGCAGACGGATCGCACGGTGGGCGTGGCGTCAGGCCAGGTTCGCCGGAAGTCAGGAAACGCCCTGCGCATGCTCGTACCACCCACCGCGTAAGTTTTTTGACAGTCCTGCGTCTGTTTTAGGTCAAGATGTTTTTTAGAGTAATTATTGCGTGTGCTTGTGCATCGTTGCATGATTGGTATAAAACAACGAATTATGTCATTTTTATTTACGTTTTTCGATACAAGACTAGTATCGTCCTGCGATATAAGTATCGTCCTGCGATGCAAGTATCGTAGTTCAGTATCGTTAGAACTTAGTTAACCAGGCTTGTTAGTGTTTACAGCACGTTTGTATTCAGTGTTTCTTCCAGACTTTTTTCTCCGGGGGGGGGGGGGGACACACACTGTTAAAAGTGTATATTTTCTATATAAATTCCATTTTCCATTTCGTTGGGGGGGGGGGGGGGGGGCGGTAGACTTTCTTCAGAAGAGATGCCTGGAAGAAACTCTGTTTGTATTGTAGTTTTAAATTGGCTTAAATGTTTAAAAACTATCAACTAATTGCCTAAATTAATTATTTTAAAAGAATCCACTGATCTCATTAATTAAATGTTTTAAAACCATCCACTGAATGCCTTAATTTAATCGTTTAAAAATGCTCCAGTAATCCCCTTAATTGTTTGACTCCACTAATCGCCTTAATTGTTTGACTCCACTAATCGCCTTAATTGATTAACTCCACTAATCGCCTTAATTGTTTGACTCCACTAATCGCCTTAATTGATTAACTCCACTAATCCCATGCCTTACTATAGAGCCGTATCCGGGTCTGATGTGGCGCTGCGCCTACTACCTACCCAGTGAGCTAAGTATAAGACAAACACACGACAACATTGGCTAAACACACAAACAGCTTCCTAGTCTTTCACGTGCACATTGTATTGTGAGCAGGGGCGCAACTGGTGGTGGAATCAGGCACTGATTTATATATCATTTATACCTACATTATATATTATATTGTGTATATCTTTTATACTTTTATTTTATTATCTATAATTGTATACAAGTGGGTTTTCTATATGTTTTTTAAGTTGAATTTTACCCCTCTCCTCCCCACCCATCGTCACGTGTCGTTACAAAAGAATAACGGCACGCGGCTCCATCTCCCGCCCCCCATCTTTCCCACCTCAAATAAAAAATATCAACGCAAACGTTAACAATTATTTCACTTTACTGAAATACTCAATAAATGTTACGTCACATTTTAATTACCCCCCCCCCCCCACCCACCGTCACGCATGGTCACAAAAATCCCTCCCGCCTCCCCTAGGTTGTGACGTCATTTACTCACACCAAAAAAACGGTAAATGCAATTTTTTTTTGCGCGCATAATTTCCAATGTGTGTTTTAAAAAAAACCTTGTCTGCTTAATATATCATCTTACAGTGAATTGATTACACATTTACTGAACTACTGATACTAGCTGTAATTGTAATATATATTTCACGGGTCTATTTCATATTTACAATTACATCAACCAACACTTGTTCTGAACAGTTCCGTCAACCAATGGTTGCACGGTCTATTTATACCAGCCAATCGTTGGCCGACTGGTTTACCAACGTGTGGATGCGACGCAGACGTTAAGTGTCGCACCATCTGGACAGAATGTAGCAGTCACATTTGCTGACTATGTTAGCCTAACGTTCCTGTATAATTAAGGCCCTTTAAATGACCCCCACCCCGCCCGACCCCTGCACAAATAACGGTGTCTGCAGGTAATGTATGCACACTAGGGTGTGTTGTGGCAGATGTGAACGTCAGTGTTGCACACATGAACACATTCATGAACCGGTGAAACTACACAGCAGCAACTTGCCGTGTCAGCCTCTAGCGCCGAATGTCTTCTTTTGTGTTATCGTTGGTTCAAACTATAGGTACATTTGTTAAACTATAGGAACGTTTGCTAGACTATAGGAACATTCGCTTAAACTATAGGAACATTTGCTAAACTATAGGAACATTTGCTAAACTATAGGAACATTTGCAAAACTATATGAACATTTGCAAAACTATGGGAACATTTGCTAAACTATAGGAACATTTGCTAAACTGTAGGAACATTTGCTAAACTATAGGAACATTTGCTAAACTATAGGAACATTTGCTAAACTATAGGAACATTTGCTAAACTATAGGAACATTTGCTAAACTATAGGAACATTTGCAAAACTATAGGATCATTTGCTAAACTATAGGAACATTTGCAAAACTATAGGATCATTTGCTAAACTATAGGAACATTTGCAAAACTATAAGAACATTTGCAAAACTATATGAACATTTGCAAAACTATATGAACATTTGCTAAACTGTAGGAACATTTGCTAAACTATAGGAATATTTGCTAAACTATAGGAATATTTGCTAAACTATAGGAACATTTGCTAAACTATAGGAATATTTGCTAAACGATAGGAATATTTGCTAAACTATAGGAACATTTGCTAAACTATAGGAACATTTGCAAAACTATATGAACATTTGCAAAACTATATGAACATTTGCTAAACTGTAGGAACATTTGCTAAACTATAGGAATATTTGCTAAACTATAGGAATATTTGCTAAACTATAGGAACATTTGCTAAACTATAGGAATATTTGCTAAACGATAGGAACATTTGCTAAACTATAGGAATATTTGCTAAACTATAGGAACATTTGCTAAACTATAGGAACATTTGCTAAACTATAGGAACATTTGCTAGACTATAGGAACATTTGCTAAACTATAGGAACATTTGCTAGACTATAGGAACATTTGCTAGACTATAGGAACATTTGCTAAACTATAGGAACATTTGCTAAACTATAGGAACATTTGCTAAACTATAGGAACAATTGCTAAACTATAGGAACATTTGCTAAACTATAGCAACATTTGCTAAATTATACGAACATTTGCTAAATTAAATGAACATTTGCTAAACTATAGGAACATTCGCTAAACTATAGGATCATTTGCTAAACTATGTGAACATTTGCTAAATTAAATGATCATTTACAAAACTATATGAACATTTGCAAAACTATATGAACATTAGCTCAACTATGTGAACATTTGCAAAAACATATGAACATTTGCAAAACTATACGAACATTTGCAAAACTATACGAACATTTGCAAAACTATATGAACATTTGCAAAACTATATGAACATTTGCAAAACTATTTGAACATTTACAAAGCTATATGAACATTTTCAAAACATCAACACTTTTATTATTACAGCTATATAAACATTAGCACACACAAGAACAACCTCAACATAAATGACTCCGTGAAGTTAGCCCAACGACATATACACAGTCATAATCATATTTGTTGTTAATGTCTCGACATCAACAAAATGTCCCTAATTTATGGACGCCGCTTGAATCTACACAACAGTTGTGTCCCAAATGTGTCAGTCTGTACTGACCCAGTCTATTTGTGTCGGTCTGTCTGTACTGACCAAATCTATTTGTGTCGGTCAGTCTGTACTGACCAAGTCTATTTGTGTCAGTCTGTACTGACCCAGTCTATTTGTGTCAGTCTGTACTGACCCAGTCTATTTGTGTCGGTCAGTCTGACCAAGTCTATTTGTGTCAGTCTGTACTGACCCAGTCTATTTGTGTCAGTCTGTACTGACCCAGTCTATTTGTGTCAGTCTGTACTGACCCAGTCTATTTGTGTCAGTCTGTACTGACCCAGTCTATTTGTGTCAGTCTGTACTGACCCAGTCTATTTGTGTCAGTCTGTACTGACCCAGTCTATTTGTGTCAGTCTGTACTGACCCAGTCTATTTGTGTCGGTCAGTCTGACCAAGTCTATTTGTGTCAGTCTGTACTGACCCAGTCTATTTGTGTCAGTCTGTACTGACCCAGTCTATTTGTGTCAGTCTGTACTGACCCAGTCTATTTGTGTCAGTCTGTACTGACCCAGTCTATTTGTGTCGGTCAGTCTGACCAAGTCTATTTGTGTCAGTCTGTACTGACCCAGTCTATTTGTGTCAGTCTGTACTGACCCAGTCTATTTGTGTCAGTCTGTACTGACCCAGTCTATTTGTGTCAGTCTGTCTGACCAAGTCTATTTGTGTCGGTCAGTCTGTACTGGCCAAGTCTATTTGTGTCGGTCTGTCTGTACTGACCAAGTCTATTTGTGTCGGTCAGTCTGTACTGACCAAGTCTATTTGTGTCGGTCTGTCTGTACTGACCAAGTCTATTTGTGTCGGTCAGTCTGTACTGACCAAGTCTATTTGTGTCGGTCAGTCTGTACTGACCAAGTCTAATTGTGTCAGTCTGTCTGTACTGGCCAAGTCTATTTGTGTCAGTCTGTACTGGCCAAGTCTATTTGTGTCAGTCTGTACTGGCCAAGTCTATTTGTGTCGGTCTGTCTGTACTGACCAAGTCTATTTGTGTCGGTCAGTCTGTACTGACCAAATCTATTTGTGTCGGTCTGTCTGTACTGACCAAGTCTATTTGTGTCAGTCTGTCTGTACTGACCAAGTCTATTTGTGTCAGTCTGTACTGACCCAGTCTATTTGTGTCAGTCTGTCTGACCAAGTCTATTTGTGTCGGTCAGTCTGTACTGACCAAGTCTATTTGTGTCGGTCTGTCTGTACTGACCAAGTCTATTTGTGTCGGTCAGTCTGTACTGACCAAGTCTAATTGTGTCAGTCTGTCTGTACTGGCCAAGTCTAATTGTGTCGGTCAGTCTGTACTGACCCAGTCTATTTGTGTCAGTCTGTACTGACCAAGTCTATTTGTGTCAGCCTGTACTGACCAAGTCTATTTGTGCTGACTTCAAACACACGCGTCTAACAATTGACTGAAACTCTGCTTGTATTGTTCGCGTGCCCTATCAACATTACACAATCAATATTTGACTATCAGCCACAGACAATCATGTTTTTTAAAAATATTGATTGGCTCACATTTTCTCACTGAAGTCAAATGTGACAATGTGACAATGTCACACTGACATCCTACTGTCATCATTCTCACGGGGTGACTTACAAAACAAACACTGTGACGCAAACACAAACAAGGGCCCACAACTCTAA